AGGATCCTTTATTTGAAAGGAAGTTGGAAAACTGCTGGGCTAAGTTCCATTTCAAAGCTTTTCCTCTCAGCAAAGCCAATGGGCTTTGTTTTCCCTTTCAGGTGTATGTAATTGTAGGTGTCTCAGCTCAGCAGGGAAAAAGGAGTTGAAAGTCGGTTTGAGTTACCTGCAGATGAAAAACCATTAAGAGAAAAGTCCCTGCACTTTTTCTAGATATATCAATTGAGCTGGGGTTGGTTGAAGAAATGAAGAAACATGCCTTCACTCTAGCATTGAATGCCAGAATCTGAGAGCATGCAGCATTGACTTATTATCATGCTGTTGTTATTTTTCAGACAGCTTTTTCTAGTGATAGAGCATCTGTCTATCTCAATAGACAGAAATAGTGCCTACCTAGGGGGCAGCCACCCCACAAAAGCCATTTATGGCTATTTCAGCTACTAATATTAAAGTTCTTAAATCTTTTTAATGGCCAAAATCTTGGGCAAGGACTATCACCTAATATCTTCCAGAGGATGAAGAAGTTGCTGAAGTTGTGGTTTAATCTCAGATCTATTAAAAGGAAATGAAAATGACAACAAAGCCAACAATGGTTGTAAGGTTAGGCAGAGATGAACACACGATAGCCCATAATATTATTGTCCGCTAGAGCTTTAATGACATTTTGCTTTATTTGCTTCCTTAAAACTGACTTCATATCTATGGGGTAGATCTATAATGCTCTCCAAGTGACTTGATACAGTACATAGGTCTTTCCTGCATTATCGCAGAAACTAAGCAGACGAGAGAAGACAACGTTTGAGGCTGACCTCCATCTGTACGTAATTACTAATGTGCAGTCAAGTATTTTAAACCCGGAGTAAAATGATAAAATAAACATAATTGTATGCAGAAAAAAGCTACCTTGACCTGAACTTTGCAGTGGGGCATTTGATGGGATTGTCACATCTTGGGAATATGTCTTTTCCTTTGCATCATTTATACAGAGTATGTATTATTCTGAGTTAATGTGAGACTGAGCCTTTGATCTCGCTTCATTGCACCAAAGTGAAATAGATGTAAGAGTTGAATTGCTTCCTCTTTTATCCTGCCTCAGTCAATAATGTGTCAGCCTCCCGTGCCTCTCATTTTGTAGGTTCTGGAATGGCTTTCCGTATTCTCTCTGGTACAGTATTTCAGTTCAGTTCTCAAGCCTTCGAGAAATATATTTGAAATGGAAAAGTGTCTTTGGAGGTGGGTGGGTGGATGGGCAGGCGGCTGGCGAGAGCATCCCAAACACAAACATGCACAGATCAGCACTTCGACTTTATCTTATTTATAGATGCCGTAGTTACAGCTTTTCAGGGGCCAGATGATTAACATTTCTTCGGTGCTTCAGCAGATGGCATAAGCCCTACAAGCATTATGGGAAATTCTTAAAGCAAATGAGGTAGGGTGGGGGTGGGGGGGGAGAAATGGAACATTTTGCAGGGAGAAATGTTATTGTCGCTCCAAATAGGAAACAAAGCCATTTCTGGCATTGTCTTGTGCAGACACTATCTGCATTGCTGGTTATTGTCAGGCTGAAATCACTAGGGAAATCAATGTGGTTGGTTTCTGGTAGAGATGGTGCGGCATGCGTGTGGGAGGAGGGTAAAGTATCTTAAAAAAAAAGAAAAAGAAATCAAATCCCCAACCGGTTTTTGCAGCATACAAAACTAATCTGATTAATTCTGAGATGGGAAACCAAAGAAGCAAGAGAGACTTGTTCATTATAGACAACATTCTCGTAGATTTTTCAGGGGGCTCTAAACTTGGGTGGAATACTAACCCATTGATTGCTATTCAGCTGCTTAAGCAGCTCAGCTACTGATTGAGCTGGAAGAATGACTAAGAATTTTCCCATTCTTTTTCTATTTATCTCCTTCTTCGGTGCTAGTTATCTTATTGCCTTTTTCACCTCACCAGAAAGACCTGCTGATTCCAGAGTAAGGTCATCTTTTTGAAATATGGTCAGTGGTCATACAGATAGTCCTCAACATACAGATAGTCCTCAACTTATAACTGCAACTGGGACCCGAAATCCGGTCGTAAGTCATTATGATCATATGTCGAGGCACCCACGTGACTGGAAAGGTTTTTCCGGCACTTTCGTTGCGGTCATTAAGCAAACATGGCAGTTGTTAAGCAAATCCATTCATTTGAACGGTGCTTTTGCCAGAAACGGGCAAAAAAAAGCTGGAAACCAGCAAAAAAGTAAAAACAAAAAAATTGCAGTCACGTGCTGATGGAATCCTGCAACTGGGCTTTTCAACCAGTGGTACGGGTACCACCTGTGGTACATTGGCACCTGGCAGGTGGTACGTGACCATCCTAGAAAAGTGGTAGCGGGGGAGGGGAATGAGCTGAACCGGTGGCAGCACCGCACAAGCCTGAGCGAGAGATGGGTGGAGCTGCAGGGCTGTCAGGGCTCAGCAGAAGCACCAGGATCAGCACTTCTTTGGGGCTGTCAGGGCTCAGTGGAAGCGCCAGGATCAGCGCCAGGCTCCAGTTGGAGCTCGGCGCTAATCTTGGCGCTTTTGCTGAGCCCAGAAGAAGCGCTGATCAGCTGGAATGTTGCAGCATCTCCAGGGTCTTGTGATTTACATTCAGATGTTTGGCAACTGATTCATATTTATGACGGTCACAGTGTCCCAGGGTCATGTGAAGTGACCAAAACCTGCTGCAACCACTCAGCAGACGGGGGGAATAAAAACCAAACACCCCCCACCCTACCCCTGCTGCCAATCCTCAACAAAAATGCTCACAACAATGAAAACCTCAGACAGGAGGAAGAGCACCGCCGGGTGGGCAGGCAGGTGTCTTGCTCGGCTGTGCTTTGGGGGGCACTTTTTTCAGTGCCATTGTAACTTCGAACAGTCACTAAGCGAACTGTTGTAAGTCGAGGACTACCTGTACTTTATCACTTTTTTGCGGGGGGTCATCAAGTTTTTGACACCTTGCTAGGCGACTGGTAGTACTTGGATATTGCCATATCCTAAAAGTGGTAAAATGGGTGAAAAGGTTGAAAAGCCCTGCTTTAAGGTGCACTTGTTCCTTAGCAATCATAAATGTGGTTGTAAGTCAAGGACTTAACGTTTAATCTAAAAATGAAGCTTTTTATTTTTTTTTAAAAAATGAGTGGTTTGATTGGGAACATTATGGAAAACTTAACTGGCAAACAGTTCTGGTAATCTGTTACTCTGAGCACGTCCTTCTAACCACTGTTTCAATTATGGTTTAAAATGAGGAAAGTTAAGGAGGTGTTTGAAAAGCTACAGTTTTTCTATCTGGATTTGATCCTCTCAAATATCATGAGTAACAGCATTCTTTCCTTTTCTTTCTTCCTTTGGTTTTTTTTTTTTAACTCAAGCAGCCATTACACAATCTCAGAATAATAGAATAAATGGTTTGAAAGAATTCCTGACTTCACCCCAGGCGTATTTATAAAGGAGCAAGATTAAATATAAACAACAAACAGCAACATATACTGTTCAATAGAACCTTGAAAGTCTGTGCAAGTTTCTGTTTCATCTTATAGGAAAAATATATATCAAGCAGGGATTATCTGGATTTCTTTTTCACGTTTTCCTCTTTCTCAGGACTTGAATAATTTTTTCCTTCAAAATTTCCCCTGCTTGTTTCTTCTCTATCTCCAGGGTCTGTAGTATATTCCTTTACATTTACAAATGATAGCCAGTAAGGTGCTTTCCTGTGAGAATATTATGCAGGAATGGGGGGTGAATTCCATTTCATGAAACATTTATGAAAATAATGTATAAAAACAACCTTACAAACAATTGAAAATGCACATTTGCAGAAATGTGCATACAAAAAGGCATAGAAGTTCTATGGAAACTTAACCTAAACTCTCAAATCGGAACAGGAATAGGTAGGGGAAAAAAATTCAGAATAGAAATAGAAAACAGATTTGTAAAAACACGCAAAAGTGAAAAAAGATGCAAGTATATTAAAATATGGGGGATTCAAGAAGCAAATCTCTCTGCATCTAGTTTGTTGTAATGCTCCCCCCCCAAAAGAATTAAGAAGTGGATTCCCAAAATAAATCATATGTAACAAAACAGGATGAGATAAATGTCTCTTTGTCTAAGAAAAAAAATCGTAAAAAACTCAGGATTTGAAAATAGGAAGGGGGTATATAACCTTATTTAGCAAAAGCATCCTCTTCAACAATTTTCTTTTGGCAAAGGAAGATTCAGTGTTCCATACTTTCAAGCTTATCAAAGGACATTTTAATGCTGGTCATTGATCGGAACCAGGAATTTCAGATATTCAGCTTCTTTATCAGCTCAAATTGAAAGTTTTTTTTTTTTTAATTGAAAATTTTTAAAAGTTTTACAATATATCTCCCCACCCCCCTCAAACCCCACCCTTTCCCACCCCCCTCCCTTCCCCCCCGACTTCCCAGAGCTACACACAGGGTTTACAATACAATAATTATACTCTGTCTTAAATTATATTACCCTTAAGTTAACAATTCTATAACATCCTTTAGCTCTCTCCTAAACTAACATATCAAATCATTATTACAAAATTTTTAATTTTAATAAAATAT